TAAAAAGAGCAACAAGTTCCATACTGACATGCAAAAAGAAAAATAGAATCTCCAAAGAATTAAACACTTTTATTATTCAAAAACAACCTGAGCAAAATAAATTAGCCTCAGAAAATAATGCATATAATATATTTCTTAAGCAGTGTAGACTAAACCACGAAAGAAGAAAGTATATAGAAATCACCTGTGATGGAAATGCAGAACAAATAGTTCAAGCAGTAATAACTACTAGAAGTAATATAATACAAATATTTATGACATATATACCAACTCAGCAATCTTACTCAGATGAAAATATGAAAAACTTTATTATACTAAAAGAAGGCAAATCAAATCTAATAAATGATTATAAACTAATCAAACTACTCAAAGAATATGAAAATGATATACCGGAATTAAAAATTATAATACATGCATCTATGGGATTATCAATAATGATAAACTCCAATATGATGGCAAATTTAACTGGAAAATAACTAGAATAATAGAAAAAATAAAGCATACAAGACAAATAGAAAGTAAAATATATATATTACATATAGATATATCAAATACAGGTAAAGATACAAAAGAGAAAGTACAAATTAAATTAAACCTCGAGGAAATACTTAAAAAAATACAAGACACCAAAGTAATAATATTACTAGAAAACTCTGCATCAAACAAATGCTACGAAGCTAATATGGAAGAGCTCATACAAATAAAGAAAAGTATTAAAAAAGAATTACAACACATTGAAGATGAAAAAGAAAATAAGGTACCAAGAGTCAAGCTATGCTTTAATACACAACACTATTTTGCTGCAGGAGCTGGTAGATTTATAGAAGACTACAAAGAAGTCTTAGACAAATATGGAAAAGAAAACTATTTAATACATATAAACAATGTAATGAAATAAAGAAAATTTCAACAACAAAACGGGGCATGGACAATTATGAAACCAACAGTATTTAGAAGCGGCCAAGATGTGCACGCACTACTACTGAATGGACAATTACCCCAAGAAATATTTGAAATGATAATGAAACACCCTAATACTAAAGCAACTATTTTAGAAACACCCAGGAAAACACAAGAACAAAAACAGAAACAAATAACAGAAGTGTATACACTCAGGCGATCTAATAGCCAAAGACACAGAACTATATGCATCAATCGAAGAACGAATAGATGCAATGCTTGATGACTATACATCAAAAAATCTACTACCAGATATAGAAATAATAGATCTTACAGAACAAATGAATAGATTAACCATCCAAGATAGAAAAC